CTCTTATCTATATAAATTAGGCTCATTATTAGGGAAGCTGACTGATATTAAAATGTAAAATTAAAACATCTAAATTTAAAACAAAAACAGTAAAAACTAAAATCAGTCTATTCAAATGCTACAAGTGGATTTAGGCATCATAACATTATAGTGTAAGGAATTAAATATATTTTAAGTGTTGAATTAATTTTAAAATCAGTGTAAGATTCATTTTTAACTTAAAAATGAACTAATCAAATGACCAAAGGTCATCTAAATGTAAAAATAGGGGAAATGCACAATTACATAGACAATATTCACACAAATAAAAAATAAAATAAAATATGGTTTTGATATATTGTGTAACTTGTGTGCAAATGCTACTAGTGGCCACAACTAATTTAACAACCCATTGAAGACTTATTTCAATTACCTTCATCTTCATCTTCATAAAGTCTTAAGTTCATAAGTTTCAACATGACACACATGTGAAACCAAGAAACAGAGAGAAGCAGTAAATAAGCATTCTCAATAGAGAAGCACTAGCCCCAGCATCCGGAGCAACAGATTACCCTGTCAGCACTGCAACAGAGGCAAGGAGGCCTAAACCCGATTGAGCGTCCACTTTCAACTTCACCTGCTGTTTGGTCTAGCAATGAGCCATGAGACGGAAAGAGACACACAAACAAAAGACCACACTCTAGTCTTGCTGTTGTCATGCACAACAGCAACTGCTAGATCTGGAGCTGGTTCCCTAAATGCTGAGATGCTGACACATGACAGATGGGCCACATCTTGATCCATTCAGTGCTTTTGTATTTGTGATGACACATGCAGGAACTAAATGAGATGAAACGAGGAAAGCACTGCAGGTGCACCATATTAAAAACAAGACCCTAGATTCCCATCGTTAACGGCAAACTGGTATGACACAACTGCTCAGAGGGAGAACGCATAGGTCTAACGTTTCCGCAGCCTTGTTTATCTCCGTGATTGGCAGCTTTGTGTTTAAATGGGACAGTGGGCAGGGCTCCTGGTATAGCGCTCTTATTTTTATTGCTCCCTCGGGTGCCAGAGAGGGGATCAGGTTAGCAGAAAGCTATTCCCAAACTTAGCCGTGACCCCCACGGCAACACTGGGTCCATTTTCCCTCTGGCGACAGCCAGTCTCTTAGCGGAATGAAATAGTAGGCGGGGAGTAGGCTGATTTAGTCTTCCTGACACCTTTGTCTATGGATGACAAGGAGGAGGGGAAGTGCCCTGGGCAAATCAACACCATTAACAGTGTCTGTGCCAAAATCCCCACTGCCTGCTCTTGCTATGACCTACCAGTGCTCTCGAAAAAGGACTGTGTCCTCCACACCAACTGCATGGCTACAGCATCACAACCCAGTCCCAAAATAACATGTGGACCAATGAGAGACGGTTACTGGGGGACGTGCGTATTATGAAAACATGCATGTTTTCTAACTAAACATCTCACACTTGTATCTTTGAAATGAAGCTAACATTCAAAGGATGACATGCATACTTTAAATGTGAACTAATTAGGGATGTTCATTTTGGTTATTTTTCCTAACCGACAACCGACGCTCGTTAACCGTTTGTTAACCAACAAGATTATTTTAAATTAGAATTGAATTAAATTAGAAAGGATAAGTGTCTGTGACCCGTTAAAAAATACTAACATTTGTTTCCCGGGGATTAATTTTACATGCGCAAAAAGCAGCAAACAACAGAACATGAGGATTCACATGGTCTTCATATCACATCAAGCACCTGCAGCGCTTCTGCGAGCGGAGAAAAACATAATAAAGCTAGGCTATATATATATATATATATATATATATATATAACGAATAAATAGGCCTATACGAGAAACATATTTTTACTTAAATTATAAATTAAGAAAATTAAAGAAAAACAAGTAGCCTAGTATGCAGAGTTTCGGTTCATTTTTGTGCTATGCGAAAGGAAACAGACGACAGAAATCGGCATCCTATTTTTCTTTAGGCTTATTTAACAAAAGCACAAAGACATTTATTGTGCATGTACACAAATAAAGGCAAACCTTTTACAATTCCGATTATCTTTAGGACTAAAAGGAGTAGTTTCTTCCACTGTTAGAAGGAAAAAAATCAAGTGATTGCGCCGGTGCCACATGCGCACAGTTAAACATTGCTACCTTGACAATGCAGCCTGTTCATTATCATAATAAAATACAGTCAGTCAAACATATGGAAAAAAACT